AATAATTACCAACATCTCAGTGACCCCATGAACTGGCTCCTCTATCCATGGAATTCTCCAGGCAAGAATACTGGAGTGGGTAGCCTTTCCCTTTTCCAGGGGATCTTCCCAACCCAGGGATCAAACCTGGGTCTCCTGGATTACAAGCAAATTCTATACTGTGTGAACCACGAGGGAAGCCTACAAAATGTCAGTGGCTTAATACAGTTGACTCAAGTCAATGTAAGCTCAAGTCAAGGTTGCCCTCCTCCATCTCACACGGAACACGTGGCCTCCAAGATCATGGCAGGAGGGAAAGGGGAAATGGGGGAGACTTACTAACTCTTCACTGCTTGACCCAGTGGTAACACTACTAATTCTACTTACATTTCTTTGGCCAGAATTAATTACATATTCCTACCCTAACTGCCAGTGCATTAGAAAATGTAGATAATCACATCTATTATGTAGATAATCATAGATATTTGGTGACCACTAAGAGTCTCTCCTTGATCTGGCGGAGGGGGGGAATTATGTCTATAAACTTCATGTTATACCACCCCCCAAGTCAGAATTTTACATAAGGACAGGATCGTTAACAGTGCTAAGCTGAGCAATACTGGACCCTACAGCAACAGGTAAAATCAGTAATGCTGCCTTTACATAAAATGTTTCTCTTTGGTTCAGCATCCATTTGATTGCATTAATTCTGCAAAGGGAGTCATAGGTCAGGGTGTTCAGAAACAGTTGATGTCAGGGGCATCACAGTGAGGCTGTGGTTTGAGCATGCCACATTTAGCTACCGGCTAAAACAACTCTGCAGCCAGGTGAAGGAGAGAAGGGGTTCCAGGAGGCACCCCAACACAAATCAATCACTGTGCTCCTTCCATTCTATGTATGATTGATAGAATTTATGATTGATTATACATTTTCACTGATTGGAAGATGTATGATCAATGAATTAATTGCTTTTCAGAAGGAAAAAAAAAAAAGACAGGTAAGGGACTTTCCAGGTCGTACAGGGGTTAAAAATCCACCTTGCAGTGCAGGTACTTGGGTCTGATCCCTGGCTGGGGAGCTAAGATCCAACATGCTGTGTGGCAACCAGTGAGGCCGTGCGCCTCCAGCAGAGAAGCCCACAGGCCGCGATGGAAAAAGATCCTGCCTGCCGAAACTAAGACCTGATAGAGCCCCAAATAAACGAACACGTGTTTTAAAAATGACTGGTAAGCTTCTGACACCAACTATAAGAAACACCCAGGGACATTCCTGGTGGCAGAGTGGATAAGAACCCACCTGCCAATGCAGGGGACGGGGGTTCCATCCCTGATCCGGGGAGATCCCACATGCCGTGAAGCAACTAAGTGGGAGAGCCATGACTACCGAGCCTACACTCCCAAAGGGGATGCTCTGCAACAAGAGGAGCCACCACAATGAGAAGCCCCTCATACCGCAAGGAAGAGTAGCCCCCCCCAACCTGCCGCAACTACAGAAGTGAGAGTTGGACCATAAAGAAAGCTGAGCGCCGAAGAATTGATGCTTCTGAACTGTGGTGTTAGAGAAGACTTTTGGGAGTCCCTTGGACTGCAAGGAGATCCAACCAGTCCATCCTAAAGGAAATCAGTCCTGAATACTCATTGGAAGGACTGATGCTGAAGCTCCAATACTTTGGCCACCTGATACAAAGAACAGACTCACTGGAAAAGACCCTGATGCTGGGAAAGATTGAAAGCAGGAGGAGAAGGGGACCACAGAGGATGAGATGGTTGGATGGCATCACCAACTTAATGGACACGAGTCTGAGTAAGCTCAGGGAGTTGGTGATCAACAGGGAAGCCCAGCGTGCTGCAGTCCACGGGGTCGCAAAGAGTCGGACATGACGGAGCAACTGATGTAAACTGAACAGAAAGCCCAGGCAAAGCAACTAAGACCCAGTATGGCCAAAAATAAAGCAAATAAAAAAATTAAAAAAAAATCCCAAATTGAAAAAAAAAAACAAAACATGTGGAACAACAACAAAAAAAGGTGGGGGGACTCTTAAAATGTAGGCAATACAGTAAAATGTTTTAAGATTCCCAGGCAGAAAAGTCAACACTCCAACCAAACTCAGAGAGCAAATGAATTTTATTAATGAGTGATGGGGCAAGCCCATGGACTAGCCCAACAGGATCCTCTGTCCATGGGATTCTTCAGGCAAGAACCTTGGAGTGGGTTGCCATGCCCTCCTCCAGGGGATCTTCCCAACCCAAGGATTGAACCTGCAGCTCCTGCAATGCAGGTGGGTGTTTTTACTGCTGATCCACCCCGGAAGCCCGAAATGCTGGGGCATATTTACTCAAATCAACAGACAAAAGTACCTATTCTAACAATCCAGACACAGCCCATTAACCATGACAGGCCTCAGGCAAAATGCTCAGTGTGAGAAATAACAGGGCAGCCCTCATTCTGAATGGATCCCAGGAGGGCCCTCCCCAAGGCTCCCTGATTTCCCTCCTGCCCCTCCTTCTCTCCTTCCAAAACCAGTTCTCAGCAAATGGAGTCATTCCCTTGCCTTGGCCAGTTATTATTGTGACAGGGATTAAAATATTAAACTGAAGAGATGGAATTTATGACAACTGGAGAGTCACTCTGCGTGGGTCCGGGTGGGCTTTATACATCAGGTAGGCTGAAGGCCCACCCTTGTCTCTTTCTAATCGGTGTTTCCAGCGTTCAGTGGAATAAGGCAGTCATCTCCCTGGGTCTCCGGAAATCCTCCCCTGCAGCCAGCCGTTCAAAAAAGGTCAAGGCGAGAAACTCCACACCTGATGGCCAAGTGGCTTTTGAACCCAGTTGCGGGCCCCTCCAGGGCACTGCAACCTTCTGTCCAGAAAGCTCCCCAGGTGGCGCTGGTGGTAAAGAACCCGCTTCCCAGTACCGGAGACTCTAAAGACGCGAGTTCGATCCCTGGGTGGGGAAGATCGCCTGGAGCCGGGAAAGGCAACCCACTCCTGTATTCTTGATTGGAGTGTCCCATGGACAGAGGAGCCTGGGAGGCTACAGTCCATGAGGTCACAAGGAGTTAGACACGACTGAAACCACTTAGCGGCAGCAGTCCAGAAAGCACGGCTCTGGGACAGGAGGGTCTTCAGCGCCCCCGCTCCACTCTGGACTGGAGAGCCGGGAGGGGAAGGAACCTTCCAGAAAAGCCCTGAAACGGGCTCAGAACGTCAGAACCAGGCACCACCCAGACTGGGGGGGATTTCACACAAGCGGAGGAACTCGGACTGGAGAGGGAAGCAGGAAGATAGGCTGGACGAGGGTAACTTGTAGCTGGGTGGGGGGCACCGCCTGCGGGGAGTCCCTGAAGCGGGCCCACCTTCCTTCCCGGGGGAGACCTTTGTGACCCTCCGCACCTGGACAGGAGGGAAGGCCATCTCCTCACAGCCCCCGGGGCGTCCCCAAAGCGACCTGCGTCCTCACACCACTGATGGCCGGCCAGGAGCAGGAGAGCTGACGTCAGCGTTCAGGGCGCTCGAGTGACTTTGGGGGCCACCCTGTCCTCAGAGCCGCGAGCAGGAGGGCAGGCGACTCTCTACCGAGGACTCGCCCCACTTCCAGCCGGGGTGGGGGAAGGGTCCGGGCTGCGCCTTGGTTGGGGTGGGAGGAGTCACCCCGCCACCCCCAGAGAACCCCCGGCCGGCCCGGGGCTACGCGTGGGGCTGAGACCGCGGCAGCACGTGGGGGGCTCGCCCCGGGTTTCCAGCCCTCGGCCCCCACCATTTCCTCCGCCGTCTTAGCAACCCCGCGTGCCCCGCGGCGCCGGCCTGCGGACTCCTTGCCCGACCCTTACCGCGGATCCCTTGGTGAACCTGAAACAGCCGGGGGCGGGGGCGGGGGGGGGGGTGGCAGTGAAAACCCGCACTCCGCCTGCGACCCCGAGTCGCACCTGCTCGATGCGATCTCAGCGCGCACGCCGGCGGGCAGGGCCCCAGTTTTCCAGACGCACGTGCGGGTCAGCGCGCATCCCACCGAAACGCCCACGCTTCCGCCGCCGCCGGGTCTGCGGGGCACGTGTGCGTGTTTCAGAGTGTGTGTGTGCGGAGGGGTCATGACCGACAGTGGGGGGGTGGTCTCCCGGGGTCAGAGTGGGTCCCGCGCCGCCGCGGCCGCAGGGGACCCCAGCCCCCCGGGCTACAGCGCGCGGTGGCGAGGGGAGCGCGCGGCACGCCGTGCACTTCCTGTTCGAAGCGCGCCGCCGTCCACCGCCCCGCGCCGCCCGCCTGCGTCCGGGCCAGGCCCGGCCCTTCGCGGAGTCCCGAGCCCCGGAGCTACGGAGGCGGGGGGACGGAGCGGGCGCCCGGGCCTCCGCTCCCCGTGGGGCTCCCGCGCGCTCTCCGGCCCGCCGCCAGCAGCCGAGCTCGCCGCCGCGCCGCGGTCCAATTGCGCAGAGTCTCCGCGTTTGCACCTCCTCTTCCCCTCCTCCTCTTCCCTCCCTCGCCCAGAAAGGGGGACGGACCTCGCTCCAGGCTGCGGGCTGGTTTATTCTGCGGCCGAGGCTCACGTTAATATATATAGCGTCTCGCTCTCGCCAGATCTTCCGCTCAGGCTCAGGCAATAGGAGGGCTGCTTCTCAGTGTTTAACTGCACCTGCCTGTCCTATTACCTCTGGGAATCGGGGAGTGGCGGGGAGCCGGGAGGGTGGGAAATGTTGCCTCGCCTTGCCAAAGGAAGAAAACTTTGTCACCCGGCGGGAGCCCGCTGCCACGCGTAGCCCGAGCCAGGACGGCCTCGGGCTTCGGTTCTGCCTCGGACGATCCCGTAGGAGGAAGCGGACACGTGAACCCGGCGGTCCCGCCGACCGCCACCCGCGGCGGGCCCGAGGTCCCTGCCCCACCTCCCTCCCGCGGAAGTCCCCACGCGGTGTCTTCAGGCGGGAGGGGACAGTAAACAGCGCCCGCGGCCGACGGCGGGGGCCGGGCACGGGGAAGGAGAGGACCGAATTCCAGGAACGGGTCACCCGGAATTAACTTCGGCTTAAAGTTATGGGAAGCGCGGCCATGGACACCAAGAAGAAGAAAGATGTTTGCAGCCCCGGCGGGAGCGGCGGCAAGAAAAACAGCAGCCAGAAGCGGCGTTCGCTAAGGGTGCACATTCCGGTGAGTCCAGCCCCACGGTGCCTCCCGCTCGCCGTCCCCCGCGGCTCTCGGAGCCGGCGCGGAAGCGGTTAACGCGGGCGGCCCTGCCGCCGTGCGCGCCCCTCCTGCCGCTCCGGGGACGGCTGACGGCGCGGGGCCGAGCTGCGCCGCCCGGCTGGGGCTCCCTCTCCCGCCCCGCCCGCGTGCCGCCCGGGCCGGGCGACCCACTGTCTGCGGCCGGGCGGGCTGGGCGTAGCCCGGGATCCCGCCGGGTGCGGGTGCGGGGGGCGGTGCGTAGGGTTGTTTTTGTTGAAGGAGGACCGTGAGGACTGCGCTCCGGGGAGGTGGAGCCGCGCGCCGCGGCTGGGGACCGACGGGAGGGGCGGTGGGTGGGGACAGCGGGGGAGGGGGGCAGCGGCTGTGTAGCTGCGCCCTTAAACGGACCCCCCCTCCACCCCGCTCCCCAGCACCCAGCTCCTCATCTTCCCTCGGGTGTCTCTGGACCCGGGGCGGGAGGCTCCTCTGCAGCCGGCCCCAGTGCCTGACCCCTGGAGCACATTTCAGGCATTTGGAGGCTCCGGACCCCCTAAGGCGTGCAGGGCCCTCGCGAACTTCAGCCCTGGCCACGCCGGCCGCCGGGCCGGACTTTGGCGACATCGATCAGTCTGCAGCTTGACTTTGTCCAGCTGGAGGGCGTGGCGGGCTGGGGTCGTGCGCCCACCCTGCGGTTTGCCTGCCCCTGGTCCCCCGCAGCCTTCCCTAGCCACTCTGTGGGTGGGTGGATGGGGGGTTGGTCTGATGCTGAGCCCTGCAGCCCTTACCTGCACCTGAAGGAAGCCCCCAGCTGGGTCACACCGCCAGCCTTCACTAACCGAGTACACGTGTGTCCAAACACACACACAAGAAACTCCGTGGAGGATGTAATGATGATGGGTCTTGGGCATAGGGTGGCGGTGGTCCCACCCGCCCAGGGCTGCCTCCCACCTCACCTTGTTACAGACACCTTCTGGAAGCTAATCCTTCCTGACAGCCGCTGGGGTGGGGGGGCAGTGAGGCAGGGGAAGGTGGGGTGCTGGCCAAGCATTTTCTGCTGTGAACTCTCTTGGGCACTTCACTCAGGTGTTTGTTGACTGCGCTTCCTTCCCAGTCCTGGGTGCAAACACTGGCCAGGAAGGTCAGGTACTGGGGGAGCCCCAGACACCTGATGGGTACTTCAGGGAGCAGCCCCAAGTTGGGACAGGTGGCCAGCCCTCCCTGGCAAGGAAGAGCTGAGGGAGCAGGTGACTGGGCCCAAACTTGCAGTGTGACCACCAGGGTGGTGACCCAAGCTTGCAGGAATAAGCATGCCTTTGAAAAAATAAACTTCCTATTTGAAAATGAGATAGTCCTGTTTACATTCCTAACATGAGATATTTTGAGCCATATTTGTAAATGAAAAGTTAGACACCAGTAGGCGAAGCCTCCATCTGGTAGTCTTCACTTGACGGAGCCATTTAACCACTGAGCTTCTCCTGTTTGTCAAACAGATAATAACTTTGCTTTGTCCCCCTTTCAAATCTGTTGATACAAAATAACTCGCGGGAAAGCTCATACCACTGCAAACTGTTATATGAATGTGTGGCTGTTACACTTAGATCAGAGCATCTACTTTAAAAGAAAAGAAAATGACAACTAGTGCCCAGGCCATATCCTATACAGGCTGGTCTCAAATGGGCACATGTGTGTGGGGCGTGCTCCGGAGGGGTGGAGGGCAAAACCCAGAACCCCGAAAAGGACTGAGCGGCCAAGGTGTGACGGCGGAAAAGCCACGATAGAGTTGGAATCCTCTCACCAGCCCTCCTGCTGCTGGTGATGACTTTGGCTGCTTTAGACGTCGTTCTTGGCCTGATGCAGCCCTTACAGAAAGTACCGTTCACTCAGTTATTCCACAGCACGTGTGCTGCGCTGCTTGATGGTGAGATCCAGGGGGAAAGGAGAGGGCCTCTGCCTATGCTTTCACAGGGCCTGCATTGACTGTATGTTTGGGGGCAGGGGGCAACCAAGAGGGTGTTGTCACTAACAACTAGTAATTACCCGTGGGTCCCTGGGTGAGAGTTACATGCCAGCTGGGAGAATGTGGCATTCAGACGGATGTTTGCAGACGACCCGAGGGTACAGGTTGACCCGTGCAGGCGGTACCTGCTTTCAGAGGGGAGAGAAGGGAGAGATGACAGGGCATTGACATGTTCAAAGAGACTCTGCGCCCAGAGATGGTAGGCAGGACAGAGAGGTGTCAGCGGCATGGCGGGGGATCACCCCTGCCAGGGAACCAGCTTGAGCCCCCCTCTGGAGTTGGGATGTGTGGGGCTGTTTCCAGATCTAGCGAAGGACCCCGTTTTCATGGACGAAAGGGTTTGAGAAATCAGGGTAATCGGAAATACGTCAAGGTCAGATCAAGGAGAGCCTTGTATCGGCCTTATGAGATTTAGCAAGTAGAAATACTAAATGCCCAGTTAAATTCAAATTTTAAACACTGAACAACTTCTTAGTATACGAATGTGCCAGGCACCATTTGGGGGTAAACTTATCCTAAAAGAAAAACCGTCCGTTGTTACCCAAAGTTCCACTTTAACTGGCCTCCTGTCTCTTCTCTGGGAGTGCTTCCTGGGAGTTAGGCCCAGGAATGAGGATGCCCCCCCTGGAGCCCTTGGGAAACTCAGTAGATGTGATGGGTGTCCTTCCTGCGGTGCCCAGAGCCCACCCGGGGTTCTCTGCAGCCTTGCTGGACAGCTCCACTCCACACCACGGCTGCTCACTGTCTCTCTGCTCCTCGAGAAGGCCTCGTGAATAGTGGCAACTCGCTCAGCCTGAGTACAGGCTGGAGTGGGCATGTCAGTGTTGGGATTATGCCCTAAATGGGCAGCCCTAACTAAGGAGGAATGCAGGCAGGGGGAAAGGTTCTATCTTGGGTTCTGTGGAGGCCTCCAAGGGTCCCAGCAGGACCCAGCCCCGGTTGCCCAGAGTGGTGGACTAATCAGTCATTCACGCGCTCTTTCTGTCTGGCCTGACCTCCTTGCCTCGCCTCCCCCGCTCCCTGGGATAAACTACTGAATCCAAGTCATTGTCTCACTGTTTTGAGGGGGAATTTCAAGTCAGAGGCTTCCCTGGTGACTCAGAGGGTAGAGCATCTGCCTGTGATGCAGGAGACTGGGGTTCGATCCCTGGGTCGGGAAGATCCCCTGGCAAAGGAAATGGTAATCCACTCCAGTATTCTTGCCTGGAGAATCCCATGGACAGAGGAGCCTGGTGGGCTCCAGTCCATGGGGTCGCAAAGAGTCAGACACGACTGAGCGACTTCACTTCCACTTTAAAGTAAGAAGTAATTAAAAGTGATGATGACACCACTTCGCGGAGCAGAGTTATGGGGACTGGGCTGGTGTCAAGGGAAGTGATCAAATGCTTGGGTAAAAAACCCAGAGATTAGCGTTTGAGGGCTTGAACTGTAGTAATGATAAGAGAAAACAGACAGAGGCAAGATGGAAGATGGTCAGCCGTGGTTTCTGATGGATGGCAAGGGATTGAGCTGACCTTAGGATTGCAGGACGTTTGGTATCAGGAGTCGGTTCTTGGGGGAAGATTGTGAGTCTGTCACAGCCCGGGTGGACTTGAGCAGCGAATCGAAGGGCATCACTTCTGCTGCCTCCCCCAACACCTGGTGGTCATTGGTGTTCGTTTCCCAGGATGCTCGGGATTCTAAAGAGCGGCTCCTGGAAGATACCGTGGCCCTGGCAGTCCAGTGGTGGGGTCCTTTGGTGGCAGCCAGTGACCCTAACTGTGGTGTCCAAAGCAGCTGGGCTTTTTTTCTGAAATGGACACGACTGGACTCAGTCTCCAGCCTCACATCTGTTGTGTAAACAGAACTATGACCAAGGATGTCGGGGGAGATAATTGCAAACCTCCATCCTAGGCTCTTTAATCTAGATCTTTCTTTTTAATTTATTTTACTTCTTTGTTTTTTACTTTGTAATTTTTTTTGGCTGCACTGGGTCTTAGTTACTGCAGGCAGGCTTTCTCTGGTGATGGTCAGTGGGGGTGTCTCATTGCAGTGGCTTCTCTTGTTGGGGAGCACAGACTCTAGGGCGTGTGAGTGCGGATGTTGCAGCTCGTGGGCTCAGTAGTTGTGGCTTCTGGACTTAGTTGCTCTGAGGCACATGGGTTCTTCCTGGCCCAGGTATTGAACCAGTGTCCCCTGCATTGGCAGGTGGATTCTTAGCTACTGGACCACCAGGGAAGTCTTTTAATCTAGATCCTTAACCCTCTTTTACCCTGCTGTCCTGCCAGCAGCATAGCACATGCTATGCCCCGAGATACTGGAAAAGAGGAATCAACTTTAGGGGATAGACTAAGGACTGAGGTGACTGGGTGGTGGAGACCCACAGTTACTAACTAAAGTAATTCACTAACTGAATTCTGCTGAAGGGAGAATGGCCCCTGGGCCTGATAGAGGGTGTTCCCTTGCTTGGTTTCGGTCTTGGAGTGGGTCATCTTTGCGGGGGACCCTCTTAGATCTTGTCCGGGCAAAGGGGAGGAGGGAGAGGAGAGGAACGCCTGTGTGCAGGCTACTCTAGGGCTGCCCTGGGCCTTTAAAAGTAGCAAGACAAAAAAAAAAAAAGTAGCAAGACAAGCATAGCGTTCAGAGTCGTGGTGTGCTGGCACCTCGCCTGGGTTCTCGTTCCTCCGCCTTCATCCCTAATGGAAGGCAGGAGCAGTCATCCAGGTGGTGGGAATGCTTTTAGAAAAGAGCTCATTAGAAGCCTAGCTGTGCCTGGCGACCTGCCAGAACCCTCTGCCCGAGCAGCCATCGCTGGGAGTTACCATGTGCTTTCCGCCTTTCTGTCCGAGAAAAAGAATGTGCCCTGTTAGTGTGCAGCCTTACTGTAAGTGGTGACCGCTGGCTGTCTTTTTGACCGTCTTGTGGGACCCTGGGACTGTTCACGGGCCAATGATGGGGCAGGAGGCCGGGGGGCAGGGAGGACTTTGGA